GATATCAAGGCATAGAGAGTGATCTTAATAAGATTAAAATCTAGGAAAACAGGCGATTCTAGGCACTCTGGGACCCTCCAACTCCTCCTCCCCCGAAATGGTAAAAATTATTACCTTTATTTCAATGTTAAGTGTAAAATAATAATATCATCAAAGAGGATTTAATAAACAAAAGACCTTTATTTTCACTGTTGTGAAAAACAGAATACACAAATTAAGCAGATTTGTCGTTGCAATGCATTATGTAATCTGCCACCCTCGGGGGCCCCCTCCCAGCTCGGGGCCCCCAGCCATAGCCTGCCCTGCCTGTCCGGTCCCTGCGCCTCTCTCTGGGAAATGTTCTCATCTGGCAATATTTGAAACTCCATCCGCATATTTAGAATAAAAAAAGCAGTACAGTCATGCGTCGCTTAATGACCGAATACATAATTCTGAGAAGCTGCCCGGCAGAGGCGTGAATCAGCGCTGTCACAGCATAACGTCTTTCTTTTAAGTAGAATGAGTACACTCTAAAATAACGATAAATGTAAAGTATTACAAATGCACTAGCAAGTAACATTATTGTTTATTATCGTTATGGATTATTATAATCTTATGGGACCACTGTCGAACATCCAGAAACGTCGTTATGGGGCGCGTGACTGTAACTGGTTTTACTTATTTAAATGGGGGGGTTGGGTTCAATGAGGGTGGAATCCTCTCTAGTGTTCCTTTTTGAACCTTGGCGATTGCTCTCCAACATGTAAGACGATTGTTGTGTTACAGCTCTATCTTGTGGTCAGCTAGAACGATTTCCACACCGGCATTCTTAACTTCCGGAAATTTGGGAGTTTTACAAAAGAGAAACGTCTTCATGCTACTCTGCTGCATCATCCGTGGAGGTGAGCAGGTACTGAAACAGACCCCCTGAATGACAGACTGCTTTGCTTTTGGCATTCATGACGGTCACGATACATATACTCATCCATTTTTACCCGAATGTGAGCTCGTCTATCCTTCATTTTTTTAATTTAATTTTGACATGACAGTGATATTGTTTTTTTTTTAATGTTATGCCATTTATACTCTCTATGAAATATATTTAAATAATCAAATTAGAGTGACGACCTTTCTTAACCAGGCTGTAATATGGGATCTTTACATCTCACTAAATACATATATAATATTTTCCAGGACACTTTGACTTTGTGATATAATTTGGGACGAATACGAATATACATTCCTCACGGATAAACCAGAACTGCTAATAAATTATATCAACTGAACTCTTATACGGACAGAGGGAAATAAGATGCGCTTTTGGTCCATGGTAACAGACCGACTTTTATAACTTATCGCAGTAGCCCCCTAGTGGTCGATCTGCGACAGTACCACTCTGCACGTGGGTTGTTTAAATGCAACGTTTGCGGTGGATCCCCGATGAATCGGTTTGTTTATTTGACTTGGCATAACACGGAGCAGCTGTAAAAAAAAATCGGACTATTGGGGAAAAAAATTGATGTAGTACCCAGCAATGTATTTGTGAGAGTATAAAAACAAGTTATGATTTGTGATTCAATGGCTTGTAAAGTTGCATTTCAACTTTGTGGAGCCAGAAAGGCTATATGTCAAGTAAAAGTGTGATATAGTGTATAGACATGCCTGCCCTCTGGCCTCAATTATTTTATTATGTCACTGAGTCTCCAGGGAAAACAAATAATTGTCTGAAACATAACTTGTGCTTTGCAGGAGGCTCAGTGAGTAACAATTTGTCCTGACACCTGTTGGGGGTTTAAATCCCACCCCTGCTGCATGTGTGTGAGCAATTTTCATGTTCTCATGTCTTCTCCTGCAGTCCAAATGCACGTGTTTAGGTTAAATGGCATCACTAAATTGTATTTCTTCCCTGTAGTGAACTGGCATCCCACTCCAGTCCTGTCCCCTATGCCAGTGTTTCCCAACCCGATCCCTGGGAGCCGCCAGCCAGTCCACGTTTTTGCTCCTTCCAAGCTCACATTTAGCAAAAACGTGGACGGTCCCCAGAGATCGGGTCGGGAAACACTGCTCTATGATGCTTTGAGTTGGGGGGGGGGGGAGTTAGGACAATCGAAAGCCTGTGAGTGACAAGGACCCTAAAAATTTGGAAGTTAATTGGATCGGTCTGAATTGGGGGCCCAATATGATGTTATTTCATGGGGCCCAAAATCTCTAGCAGCTCCCCCGCCCCCAGGAACTCTAACCAGGATATTTATCTGTAAGATCAATTGATACTTGATGTTTTAATTCGGGGGGGGGCAACTCCAGTCCTGGAGGGCCAGATCCCTGCACATTTTTGGATTTCTGCTCATTTAACACACCTGATTCAACTCCTTGTTATAATAACCACACAGGTCTTGAGCTGAATCATTTATGGTGAAACAGGGAAAGAACTAAAGCTACACAGGGCTGCAGCCCCCCAGGACTGGAGTTGAGCACCCCTGCTTTAATTGCTACTGACTTGCAAATAATTCTGATAAACAAATGAGGTCAATGAAAATTAAGGAACTAAATGCACAAAGTGGGTCTGATTATAAATGGTGTGGAGGTCTGTATATAGAGTGATTGACAGAGAGGTTGCGCATCGGCTTTGTAGACTGACTCGTGTTTTCACCATAGCCGCACATGGGGAGGCCAAAAACACGATGAGGCCAGAAATCTTTGTGAGCAGGGGTTTCTGGCTTCTGGGGCACTATTCAAATAGTCACTTGAGGACCCCCCAAGTGTAGTGACTGTTTGTGGCCAACAGAGGGGCCCCAATCCTTGGGGCCCCATACAATGGTGCAATTTGAGTGGTGGGCGACACCATCGCTGCTTGTGCTGCGTAAATGTGACCAGAGATGTAGCGTTGAGGCTAATTTCAAGCATGGCACATGATTCGTGCCTGAAAATATGATCCGCCTCTGTGCTTATAAAAGGAAGGTCACCGGTTTGAGCCTCGCCTCAGCAGAATGGTCACGTCTGTGGGCCCTTGAGCGAGGCCCTTAACCCCCCAGCTCCATGGGTGCCACTGCAGGTGGCTGCCCTTCACTGCCAAGCTCACACTCACCTATATATGTGTCTGTGTGACGGAGAGCAAGATGGGATAGGGATCAATGTCATTTTTATTATTAGCTTTCTCCTGCATATTTGTGAGCAGAAAAATTTATGTGGAAAAATGTTATTTTTCATAAAGCAGAGGATCCACAAGGCCGCGGCTGAACCGAAGCGCAGCGAAATGTTGACATTTATATGATGGTGGATCAGGCTGCCAGCTGATGCAGGATCAGTCACCGATAAGTGAACATTTAAGGCTGACTGAGTCGTCCGTGTGCAACTAGGAACCAACACCTTAAACACAGGAAACTCATTCATTCGACAGACTGCTACTGTCCCGAATCATGGGATAAGGATGCATTATGCAAGGACAAAAAACGACAAATGCGATACACACTAGGGGGATTTATTAAATCACATTAGACGCTACACCCATAAATTGACTGCACTGGTGAAAGATCCTTCACACCCATAAATTGACTGCACTGGTGAAAGATCCTTCACACCCATAAATTGACTGCACTGGTGAAAGATCCTTCAATCAGTGATGGAGGGTAGTTGTCTATATTTGTCAGCAAGTTAAAACTTTGTGACAATTTCCTTTCCTCGTTTGAGCAATGTCACTACTTGGATCCCCCCCCCCTGCCGGGTTCTCTGTTAAACATCAGTACGCAAGACTTAATATCTGTGCGAATATGCGGATAGGATTTTGTATTTGAGTGAAATTCCAAGCAAAACTTTGGCTACTTTGCAGCCAAACGTCTAATTTCTGAAGCTTGTACATCACGATGAATAACACTTTAATGTTTCAGAAACAACTTACATTTTCACCAAAGGTTTACCCAGTAATTTATGAGTGCTGTTTAAAGTTCATTAATGTCCTGCTTGAGAATACTTGTCAAGGTAACCATTCATTACTAGCCAGTATCTCAAATCCTTAACCAGTACGTCACCTGCTGCATATCCATCTCTAATTTGTTTCATTGAAGGCCCATTGGACTGCATTTGCAGGCCAAGGTGATCAGTTCTGTACCCGACACAGCTCCACACTGTTGCTCCTCAGAAACTCTAAACTGCATTGGACATCTGCGTCCCGATCAATCCCCTCATGTTCTGTCCATTTCCTCGATCGGTGTTCCATGACGCCCAGGTCCAGAGAGACCTCACACGCACAAACGGCGTTATTTACTTCGCTTTGCTTCGCCACGGCGAAGGCATAGCTTCATATCAAAATTTATGACCATCTGTCGTAAATCGTTAATCGTGATGTGGCAGAAGGCGCAGTCGATTGCCTTGTTTTGGAGATGGCGAGTCTAGAAAGGAAGCGCTATGAGGGATTGATTGTATTCTGGATTATCGTGAGAAAAGCAGTCTGCTAACCACAATGTCCTTCATTTACACAGGAACACAGACCGTGAATTTAATGTTTTAAGTAATGAGGATTTATTGTAAAACTATTTAAAGATTTTTTTTATTCCCTCAGGCTAAAAAATCTCAATGTCATAAATGTTTGTATAACCGAAATAACGACAGCCAGTGTTCATTTGTTTATTTCAATCTTTTATTCGAGATCACGATGGGTGTCTGATTGAAAACGACAGGCGTTATTAATAATAAACCTTATTATTTCTTAATTTGTGTAACAACTGGCACATATCAAGTATGTTGCATATAGTCAGTTACATAAAATTTTAAATAGATTATTAATAAAGATCTTAATCATTTCTAAATTAAGGGTTAAAACAATATATTAGCTAGTCATTAAACAACCACCTGTCCATGGTACAGGTCGTGCATGTAGGCTATTTTTAATTCTCTAATCCCTTCCAAAATTTGACCAAGCCATAAGCAAATTTGGTCGATTCCCTCTTTTCCGCCCCCGGTACTGACTGTCCAAGGACGCGCAGCGCGCTCCTGTGTAAACACGGCTCGGGAGCGCGCACGGAGGCGGTCCAGTCGCCTCGGATTCTCGGCTGTATTTCTCCTTGTCAGAAACGAGGGAGAGCAGGGGATCGAGGACGAGCGGGCGAAGGCTGCCTATACGGGGGATACTTAGCGTTGGGTTTAAATAACACTGGTTTGACGTCGACGAGCGCTCGCCTTGTAAGCGACAGGTAAGGCATATGGGTGTTTTGTGACAACGCCGAGAAAGTATTATACAAGTGTGAACGCGTCCCAAGCAAGTGACAGTTTTTCTCATGTACGGGGTGGGTTGGGAGGAGGGGGTGGTGTGGTGCTCTGTGTCTTTGTGCTTAGGCAGTTCTTGCTGTGGTCACGGGGGAAGCCTTGCCGATTTCACACGTTTGGAGACTGCTAGCTTTTTGGTCGCCGCGATCGCTGTTGTTATGGAGGACCGGAGCCACCTCGGGCACGTTAGCGAGGTAAACACGGACCCTGCGAGCACGTTTCGCGTGTAAATACAGGCCTCCTTAGGAAGAAAAGCCGTCATTAATTATCAGTGCAGGAGGTCCGGGGGATGTTTTTTTTTCTCCTTCGCAGTTTAACGTCCCACCCTGCAAAATGACAGCTCTGCATGAAAAGAGAGGGTCCATTTACACAACAAAGATCGGGTGGGGGGGGGGGGGTGTCTCTGGGGGAATGCTTCTCTCTCCTAATTATATCTAAATGTCACAATAGGAGGACTGTTGTCAGATAAACTATAGTTTATGAACTCGCCATGCGTCGTTTAGCTCAACTTAAATACAAGCTTCAAGTCAGGTAAGAGCGTATACTGGACTGCTGGATTGTTAAAGTGTTATTCTTAGAGAAGATGCACAAGCATCAATTTACGTCGCTGTTTGCACTAGGACTCTTAATCTGTATTAAATTGTTGTTTAGAAATCGATACAAGCTTTATACAGTAACAACTGGTCGCAATTTTATCGAGTCACTAATTTCTCCGTGTTGAAATAGGGTTATTAAGACCAGATAGCTCGATGCCATAAATGAACCTGTGCTTATTTTGTCATTTAAATTGGGGAGTTAAATTAAACGAAAAAAAAAATATGTCGACTTGACTAAAATTCACGTCGAGGCGGAAAGCGCCGGCAGCTTGCGGTCTTTACAACACAGAGGCGGTTTTCATGATGCGCGTGAAAGATACAAGGCGAGCATACATTTCTGAAAACCGACACAGTCGGGGCCAGGAGGGATTAGTTTTCTCTTACAGTGTTTCTAAGATGAAACGATTATAAATAACTAGTGTGTGCTGAAGTCGTTACAACGAGTAGGAAGCGAAACTTCTGCATTCAGGGTCCTCGACTTTCACCTCTGCTGCGATTTTTTTTTTCTCAAAAGAAAGTAAACTCTGTCCTCGTTTCATTTCTTCCTCTGGGGGAATCTGAAAATAGGCAAGTGAGAGGATCATAAGTAATGCTGCCGTGAAGTAATTTTCAGGCTTTCAAACTAATTCTGATCGGTCTGGGACTCCTTGTCTTCGTTGTATCAGAACAACATGCTCCGAGCCCAGCAAAGCCGTGACAGGTTCTAATGGGCTTCTGAGTTTCCCTTATAAGAATTAAAACCGATATGTGCGTGCTCTCTTACTGCAAATTGTGTACAGCCTTAATACAAATTTCTGGGAAGTTGCACTGAAGGCAGCGTGGTGGTTTAGTGGGCAGAACTGTTGCTTCACACCTCTGTGGTTGAGGGTTTGACTCCTACACATACTCTGCATTGCTGTAGGGTCTGTGCTCTGTCGGCTACCTCGGGGTACTTTCTGGATTCCCTCTGCAGTTACATGCGTTGGCTCTGCTGAAAGTAGCCGGGTTGCCAGCTATGGTCATTTAAATTCAAGACAAGTCTGCACATGCATCAAAAGAAAGTAAAGGTGGAGATTTCAGGTCCAGAGAGTACAAATCCAGACCGGGATTTTGTTTCAACCAGCCAGTTGAGTACTCTGTGACTGTGACTCTTTAATACTCATTTGATTGGTTGAAACAAAATCTTGGTCTGGATTTGTACTCTCTGCACCTGAAATCTCCACCTCTGATTTACGTGTATGTAAATGTTGTATTGTCTTGAAAATAATCCGTAGGTTTTGCAAATTGCCCCAACGCTTTTCATGCAGCTAATTAAAGGTTTTTAATGGAATAATATAGATTTGCTGTAAGATTTCTTGGGTGATCGTGAGTCTGAAAGCATGAGTTTCACACCAGATGCACAGAGCTGGCAACCCTGAAGTAGACATTCTCTGTGAGTGTGAGATTATACCCTGTGATGGACTGGCATCCTGTCCAAGATGCTGCCCTACTTTGTGTAATCTGCTTCCTGCAATAGTCCCCAAAATGATCCTGTACTTTATAAGAAGTTGGATGGATAAATCAATAATCTTGACTTATTTTATGCATTGTGATGTTTCTGTGCCTTAAACTTGTACTGGGATTTAAGAGCTTTCAGGTGATTTTGCAGGTTCCAGAAAGACATCGTTATTCATCTTGAAGGGCCTATATGATCATGCATAACCTTAGGCTGTGTGCGGGTGAAAATGGCAACCACTGCAAAGTTTAACGGCAGTAATTTCAAATCATATTTTTCCGGCACTGACAACACAGTGAAGTCTTGGGCGAATGCCTCGGCATAGCTGCAGTTGAATGCAGTTGTAACCTTTAATGCTGTACTTTGAAACACCTCGGAAATAAGACATTTACCATTTGTGCGATTGTGCCACGGGAATGGCATTATCGTCGTAGCGAGTTTGGTATTTTACCAACAGCCGGAATTGCTGGTTAGAAAGAATGAAAAAAAAACGGCCTCCTCTTTATGGCTTTGAAGAAGATCTTTATGTCACCACTAACAAAGCTCACAAAGGCTTTGAAATGGCACATCACACATTCCCATCTGCCTCAGAGGCTCTTCATCTAGCCAGCTGATGATGTCATCTCCTAGTTCAAAGACTGTCATTTCTTAGCTGGAAAAGAAAAAAATCGGTTATTGCTCCCGGTATGGAGCCGAGAGTCACCCCTAGGGTTAAACGGCGCGTAGGGGGGGGGGGGCGACAAGCCGGGCTGCTGTATCCCGATGGGTTGTGGGCTTGTGCTTTGATTGCCGGAACACTAGGCTTCCTCGACTGGGGTCACAGAGAGGGTGTAGGGTGAGAATCTGCGATCCAGGTGTTACCTCCTGGAAAGGACTGGAGGTCGACCATCGTGCTTTGGGAGGGGGGGGGTCTTGATTAAAGCTGTTTTTTTTTTTTATGAAAAGATCTGGCTGTAATTCTATTGATTTTTTTTTATTTTTAAAAAAAAAAAAAAAAAAAAAAAAAACCCAGACGGCACCAGGATGTCTAGAGAGGTGCAGCAGAGGCCGGACGACAGCCCCAACACAAGCGGCGGCAGCTCCGATGTGGAGCAGCGGGAATCCACGGCACCGGAACCAGAACCGGAGCACGAGCGGGAACAGACGCAGCCCAAGAAAAAGGAAACCAAAATATCGAGCAAGACGGCTGCCAAGTTGTCCACCAGCTCCAAGCGGTAGGTCACCCACGATGTCCCATCACTGTCGGTCACGGGGCCTCCTTCTGCTCTCATGTCACCTCAAAGGCCGAATTCAAAGCAAGAGCTCCCACCCCAAGTGAGTCTTATTATTGTAAGGAACCTACAGAACTCAGGAGGCCACGATCCTGGTCTGTGTCTTATTAGTCATGCAAAGGGGTCATCAACACATGTTCCTCGATACTTTGATATGAGGCCCTGTTGACTTATGGTAACAACACACGCTTGGCCTGCGGACCGACACGGCCCTGTCTCCAAGAGCAATCGGGCAGAGCTCTCCGTGACCCGACGGATGCAGAGACCGTGGCAGAAACGGACCCTGAGTCACTGCGGCCGGCGGCAGCAGTTATCACAGTGGAAGGAGCAGAAGCAGAGTCTGGTCCGTTTGGGTTTTTCGTTTTTCAGTACAATATGACCGCTGCATGTTTCCCCGTTGGCGGGGATGGGGGGGGCGTTGAGCAGTGGTGCACAGCCAGCTGGGGAGAGAGAGAGGGAGAGACTCTGCCTTGCTGCAGTGTTTAATTGCAGGCCTCAAAATGGAGACATCGGCACTGTAAACCACACAGAGAGCCTTTTGCTTCCAGGAGCATCACGGAGGATGCGTTCCATTTCACAGCCTTCCCCGCTGTTCCCGTCTCATTGGATTGACGGCTGTGGATCGCCGTGCCATCATTTTAGGGAGGGCCTTCCCAGCCTCTGAGGCAGAAGAGCAGGAAAGAACAAGGAAGAGCAGGGAAGGACAGGTGGGGGAGCTGGAAAGAGCAGGGAAGTGCAGGCAGAGGAGCAGGGAAGAGTAGGTGGAGGAGCAGGGAAGTGCAGGCGGAGGAGCAGGGAAGTGCAGGCGGAGGAGCACAGAATAGCAGGGAAGAACAGGTGGGGGAGCTGGAAAGAGCAGGGAAGTGCAGGCGGAGGAGCAGGGAAGAGCAGGCGGAGGAGCAGGGAAGAGCAGGTGGAGGAGCAGGGAAGAGCAGGTGGAGGAGCAGGGAAGAGCAGGTGGAGGAGTATAGAAACGCCTCCTTGTGCGACCAACCCCTCTCCTCGCCCCCTTCTCATGGCTGTACGTATCTCTAGCATTAGTCATCCATTTTGTGTACACTTTAAGTATACAGAGTAATGCACCGGAAAGGACTGGATTTACCATGGTGGAATAAATGACCTTAAATTGATTTAATTGGGCGTGAAACTCTGGGCTCGATAAAAATATGCGTGTAGGTTGAGTATGGCTGTCATCTGAGGCGTGTGCAGGGCAGGCTACCTGCAAGGCATGATCATGCAACGAAGTCTGCCCCCCCCCACCCCTCAGAGCCCATGAACGACGACCTCACCCTGGGCTCCCGGCCCGCCTGGTAAGCTGGAGGGGGGGGGGAGGAGGTGCAGGAGGACCAGGGGGAGCTTAAAGAGCCAGAGGCGTGTTTTCGATACTCAGCCATTCCGAGCGTGCAGCTGTCCGCCCACCAGCCAAGCAGACAATTCTTGGACACACATGCCCTTCGGCGACCCCCCCGGGGCTAAAACCCAGCCGGTCTGAGGGTGGGTCTAAGAATCTGGTGCTGAAAGTCACATTTTGTTGTTCCTTTGTTTTCCCCTCAGGATCCAGAAGGAGCTGGCAGAAATCACGCTGGACCCGCCGCCCAACTGCAGGTCAGGACTGCGGCTTGTTTTTGTTGTCTGGTGGTCGTTTCACACGCAGATTTGGATTTGGGTTACGGTTGGGGGGGCGGCAGACGCCCTGATGGTCACAGAGCTGTTGCCTTCTGAAATTAAGTGTCTTTTTTGTTCTCCTTGTCACTTACGCCACTGATGTCATTAAACACCCTAAACTTACGTTCGCCTTGGAGGCCAGGTGCTTGTGTGTAGTTAAATGGGATGGTAGTGCAGACATGAAATGGCAGGCAACGCTGTGAGGTGGCGGTTTACCTCTACGGCGGGGTGTGATGCGTGTGCGCGGCTGTGAGGTGG